ATGGACTCGCGGGGAATCGAACCCCGGACCACTCCCATGCTAAGGGAGTATTATACCACTAAACCACAAGCCCAACTTGATGGAATACGAGCCCATATATTGACTACATGAGCCTGGACTGATAGCAATCATTAAGGTATCGGGTCCATAAAGGGGCATATATACATTTAATAGACCATCTTCTTGTTAACTTTTGGTATCTATTGATTACTTACTTGGTTAGTAACTATTGATATTCAGATATTGGTTTTTGATTAGATTATTCACTACTTAATTTGTCTATATAGTGCTGGTCAATTGGTTCCTAGTGTTTATACTGTAGAAATAATTTTTCTGCTTTTATATTTTGTCATCATGTCAAGAACTCACATTTGATTGTGTTGGACTTGTATAGTAGTTGACCAATACCAAAATTCCTTAGAGCTTCTTATATCAAGAATCAAGCTATAGGCCTCTCTATAAAAAAAATAATCCTCTAGCAAGGACATATCCTACCATCAAGGGTCTAAACACGGCCGTTTGATCGCATATGAGCTGTATGATGGCCTGATTTCCAAACAGCCTGGTACCTACCTTAACCCTCGATATTTTGGGGATAACCACAGCAAAGAGCTGAGCAATCAACATAACAGTGTTGGCCGTTTGTAGCTGCTGGTCAGCAACAGGACCACGCAGCATCTTCGACGAATTGAACCTTATAGTCACTATTACAGAAGTGAATCTATACTATAGTCGATTCAACGTAGTAAAGTAACATACCCGTGTCTCTTCAATCGCTGCCTGTAGAAGGTATTCTGGTACAGGAAGGAGGGGAACAAAGCCTTCCATAGCCTACTTCGTTGATACGCTACAACCAGTCACCCCACCATGCAACAATCAGCCTTATATCAAACAGTAAATATAGGAGAAACATCAGTCACTGCTTCTCTATGATGATCAGTCTCCTAATCCAGAAACCTGGGTATATAAGGCAGTTTCTTCCCTATCCCACGAGAGTCTGGTCTTTGGAACTCTTCTTGAACTTCGCAATTTTGATCGCAGCTAAGATGTTTCTTTCCACAGTTCTGTTTCTTGTCATTTCCAGCCTTGCCTTTTACTATCCCCGTCGACGACGCATAGAGAATTTACCCCCTCAGGATGCTCGCGAATGCCGCTTGATTATCGCCTGCAAAGATCGCCCAAACCAGCTCACCCTGCTCCAGTCGAGGGCACTACCCAACGCGAATCGACAGCGTGCATTTGGGATATCCAATGCATTCACTAGCACAGATAAGGTCTACGTGGGGAACTTTGTCCGTGAAGCAAGGCATCTCATCAACCTTGGAGATAACGAATGGATTCGACTCTCTGGTATTCTTCGCCTCGCGGCACGAGACTGGGTGGGAGGACACTCTGGGAGGATTCGCGTCAAAAGCATGGCACAGGCTCTGTCTCTACGAGCAGCCCTTGTGGTTCTTTGTAAAGACGTTCACAACCATGGGGTAAGTGAAACAGACCTTGTTAACCTCGCAGAAGCCATCAACCGGGCATGGATAGAGTCAAAGGACGAACAAACCACTCTCGAGCTCAAGGACAACCGTGACCTCCAGAGAGCTCTCTCTGCCGTCTTCCCGGAACACGACTTTAGCAATCGCCAACTGAATCCCTTGAACAAGATAATCCCCGGTTTCGAAACCCTGTGGCGCATCGTTCTGATGACCTTCCTCGAGGTCGGTTTCAAGGCCGGCCGACAACATCCAGAGTGGCGAGAGGCACTGGTTGCATTTGCGAAGATTCCCGGTAAGGTGCAGTTCGAAACTGCAGAACCAGTCTCGGTCCAGTTTCTTGTTAACGAGGCTCTTCGCCTGCATCCTCCCACGAAACGAATCTACCGTGCATACAAAGCAACCGCGTTGGATGAGCATACCAGAATAACTTCTGCAAATATTGAGGCTTGTCATACGGCGCCTGCGACATGGGGACCAACCGCAATGACATTCGATCCCCTGAGATGGACCCATTCAACGCAGGAACAAAATTGGCTTTTGGGCCTAGAATCATAGGCCTTATTGTCGGGGTTCTTTTCAGTGAGGTCCAGAACAGTGATTGGCGGCTGGCTGGGGAAGCGATCGACGACTTCTACCGTCACAGGTTACAGAATAAGAGAGATGCTTACGATGGGATGGTTTTGTACCTAAGCTAGACATTGATATATGCCTTATGGCCGCAGCTCATTGTGTCTACTGAACTCAGAGAGATGCTATACAATGGATCAAGGATGCTTTGAAGCTGTGATATCTAGCTCTAATACTACTAGTATAGAGGCCTTAATTTGAATGGTATTCCATTATTAAAGTCAAAGGATTACTATTTAATTATATTAAATAATTTATAGATAGCCTAATGAGTAATATGAGTAATTGATTTTAATGATGGCATTCCAGCTAATCCTCAAGTACTCGCGTCTCACTTGCGCGCGCCTACGGGATCCCAAACGAAGCTCGAAGTTCAGACCACTACACACCCCTTTCTCCCCATAAAGGCCATGTGAACCAGTGCCACTCTCTTTAACTTCATGCAGAATAATGACGCGACATCTTCCTAATATCCTCATGCATCCCTTCAAGGCGTTTCGCCAGTCGCCCTGGCCATTGTCGTCCGCGGTTTCCTCCCGAATTGACCCGTCCTTACTGGTTGAAGAGGAGAACTCGCCCTACTACGAGCCAGCCTATTTTTATCCGGCGCGGATTGGCGAAGTCCTTAATGGTCGATATCAAATTGCGACTAAGCTTGGTCACGGAAGCAGGTCGGGTGTGTGGCTTGCAAGGGACCTTCACCAGTTCGTATTGGCCTCATTACATTCATTATGAGGTACATGTTGACAGTTCAGGTGGCGCTGGTCGAACGAGCGATACGTGGCTCTCAAAATCAACTCGAATAATTCCCATGCACGGAAAACTGCTGGTGACGTTGAGCTGGGGATTCTGCAGCATATAACGAGAGCGAACCGTCAACATGAGGGCTGGCATTTCGTTCGAAAGTTACTCGACTCATTTTCCGTCCAAGGAATTTCAGGGAGTCATGTATGTCTCGTCTTCGAGCCTTTACGTGAGTCGCTGGGAAAGTATTGCCAACGCTGGCAGGGTGGAGTGATGCCCCCGGAAATTTTCAAAATAATCCTCCAAGAAATACTCCAGGCGCTGGATTATCTTCACACTGAATGTCACATCGTCCATACAGGTAAGTATTCTCAGTTGATAGTCATAAATGTGGTTCTCATTTAGAAGCAAACAGATTTGAAGCCCGATAACATTATGGTTCGACTGGAAGATCGTGAGCTCCTGTCTCAAGACGCTCGAGATGAGTTTGAGAACCCACTACCTCAGAAGCATTGCAGTGATGGACGCATCATCTATCTGTCCCGTAAGAACTATGGACCACTGAGGGACATCAAAGGGCTTATTGAAGTTGCCGACTTTGACCTAGCAGTCCAGGGTGATGTTCCACATGATGGTTGTGTCCAGGCCGAGGTATATCGCGCGCCAGAGGTCATCCTTGATAAAGGGTACACGTATAGTGCTGATATATGGAGCCTGGGAGTTATGGTATACAGTGCCCCCCCCATCCATGGTAGCGCAGACAGCTAACAGTTGAATGAAGTTATGGGATTTTCTAGAAGGACAAACACTGTTTGAATCAGTTGATCCACGTGTCGTTGAAGACTACGATGACGAAACGCATCTTGCGTATATTACATCGCTTCTAGGTCCTGCCCCAACAGACTTTGTTGGCCGCGGCAAGAGAACGTCGATGTTCTATACAACTGCTGGTAAGGGCGACTCGCAATGAAACATCCTTATACATGATCTAACACTGGATTTCAGGAACACTCATACACGAAGACCTTGTCCCTGGTAACTTTAGCTTCGAAAGCACTCTCTCTAACTTGGATGGGGAAGAGAAGATGATGTTTATCAACTTCGCTAAACGGATGATCAAGTGGAACCCCGAGGAGCGAAGTACGGCGAAGGAGCTACTGCAGGATCCATGGCTTCACAACGACTATCCGCAAATATAGGGCTGTTTTCCATCTTTCTTCCGCGATTATTCCTTCGAAGCCTACACTCTCTGTCGGAATCAAATGTCTCGCGAGATCAGTTATTCCATGGTATTCTCACCTCCCATAGAGCTCTCTTATTATCATATCCTATGCAACTTTCAAAATGTTTATAGTTACTCGGAAAATCTCAACATAGCACTGTATATATATTTGCATTGGTCCCAGCGGAAGTAAAAACAGCAAACCAACAACCACACTGGAGCTAGAGAGATAAATAGTACCTACTACCCTCAGATAGATAAATAACTGAATTACACCAGGAGTCCGCGCATGTTGTGTAATCAGCCTCTGGTAGCTAGAAGTAGGAGTACTGTACATTGTATAGTATTCGAGGGGACCTCCTCCTGGTACCTAAGCAGAATTGGTTCATATAACATTAAATTGACGCGTTATTCATCAAGTGGGCTTGTGGTTTAGTGGTATAATACTCCCTTAGCATGGGAGTGGTCCGGGGTTCGATTCCCCGCGAGTCCATCTTTTTTGGATTTATTTTTTTTACCTGTGGCCATTCCAATCGATTTGGTATCTGTGGAATGCCCTCATCAATATGTAATATAGGACGTGCAGTGTACACCAGTCAGAGACGCCGTATATAAGAACGAGTCTGATATCTACTCAGTAGATAATGAAGAATGATCCCAAGAGGCGCCTTCCAAGTTGGGATGGAACATCACGTGCAGAGCCTCGTGACTGAAGCCTCTTATTCTCTCTTTCTCTCTTTCCCCTGTTTTCCTTTCTCCAACACCCCCCACTATGAAACGACTGGCCGGATACAAAGAAGCAAGGCTCGTACGGAAAGTGTATTGACACAGTTTGAAGAAAAGGCTCTTTATTATCCGAGCCATCATTGCTAATCATGATATTAATACTCGTTAGGGGACCCGGGAAACCCAGGCGGCATTATATACACTAAACTGTGACTTGGGTTGTCTTGCGTCGAGATCCGTTCAGTAGAAGCGGGAAAAAACCGTGCTGGTAGCGGAGACTCTGCGAAACTCATCCACAGCAGGGCTTGCCGATTTAGAGGGATTATCCATGTCGAACTGCTCTGTGAGCGTCTGCTGCCGCATCCGAAGATAAGGGGTAGAGAGGTTCCCCTCTATCTTTGATCGGATGTAGTAGTGCTCTGTGTTTTCCTCCATGCCGACAAACCACCGTTCGTTAAGTTGACGACCGTACGGCCCCCCACCACAGGCTCCCTGCAGTCGGGCAGTGGCAGGGCTGTTCATAGCGAGTGCGAACAGGTTCTGGGGCTCTGTAAAGTCGGTGATTTGCCTGCCGCGGACCTCCAGGAGCATGAAGACCAGGCAGATGACGCTGGTCAGGAAGGCAAAGACGAGGACGAGATAAAAAATGCCCTGCCACTGCTGGGTGTTGCCCGACGCATAGACAACCGCCTGAAGGGTCGCGTTAAACTCCTGGTACACAGGCTTGTCCAGAGAGGTCGTGTTGTAGCTCCAGTAGGGAACAAAGGGCGCATCCTGGGTACTCAGCATAAGCGTCGAGCCGGCCATGACGGCGAGAGCCTCGCTGATTGACGGGAGCTTAGGGCTAAGCGACGAGGTGTTGGTCTGATTGTCGAAGGATGGGATCATCTGCATCAGAAGGCGCTCGTTGCTGCCGTCGCCGTCCGTGACCCCCGTCCCGAGGGCGACTGCATTTGCCCAGTCGGCTGCGACATTCTTCCAGTCTGGGTCATAGTAGTCTTCAACCACGTTGGCGACCCGGAGGTCATACTGGAGGGGGTCCGAGGGGTCTTCACATCTCAGACTGACCGTTGCGCCGCTCGCAGCCACCACATAGTGCGTCGAACATCGGCCAGATTGTTTCGCCTTCATTGAACAGAGGACATAATCGGGTGTGTGGCCCTTGGGAGCAGCCCCGAGCAGGTAAATTGCATCTGCTTCATACATCCCGGTGATGTTGAGGATGGTGTTATACGGCTGGGGATATATAGGAAAGATCGGAGGGCGCTGGCCATACTTGGGCCCGAATTCGAACAGATCGTCCACCACGGTCCGGTTGAGCCAGTTCGGGTACACCGGGATGTCCGCTGGTGGGTCAGAGTACCACGTTGAGCCGTTGAACGTCTGGTGGTAGGGCCATTCGGTATAGATCAGCGGGGAGAGCTCGGCGGCAGTCATCCCAACACACAGTACATTGACTGCGGGAGATGGAATGGAGGCGTCGAGGACATATTTGCCCTCGCCCGCCAGGTCTTCCGGCTGTCGGATCTCGTTGATCGGATCGGCGGCTGCAGCGAAAAGCCCACCGTGGGGCATCGCTGCTGTGACGTTATTGACCATTCGCCCATACTTACGGGAGACCTCCGTCATGTTTTTGATTTCAATGTAGCTCCCTGTCACGGTAGTGTTATCGAAGACGGCGCCATGGGGCGGCAGGCGGGTTTCCAAAGAGACGGAGGTGGCATTTCCTAACTTGACCAGTTCGCTCCAGCTCTGGATATATTCCTGATAGTTGTGGAAGGCCTGCCCGACATGCTCAATCTCGAGGCAAGTCGAGCCGCTATACTCGGGGTCCATCTCGGTCGTGATGGGCGTTTCGCAATGTGCGGACAGATAGTATGGGTTGGCGAACTTGGTCCATACCTGGCCTTTGAGCAGACGTGAATGGACTGGGCCCATGACGAGCTTGGGGGAGACTACGATATACCAACAGTGAGTTTTTTAGAAGCAAGTCTATTAGCTATATTGTTTTCAACCCACCTAATGCTTCTGCGGCAGTTGTATAGAGCATTGACACAAGCGCTGCAGTCAAGGTGATCATGCCCAGGATCGTCAGGGCGGAATACCGGAGCGTCTCCCAGTGGACGAGAATAGACCCCGGTTGCATGATCCACGCGCGCATGCTCATGTCGGAGATGGAGATCCCCCGGGAACCTTGCGTGATGGCGCGGCGACTCAAGACCTGGCCCAGGAAGGCGACTGCGACCGTCACGTAGGACATTTCAATTGTTTTGGCGAACAACGCGCTGAGCAGAGTGGCCGTCGACGGCGAGAGACCGCCGTCATTTCCGATGAGTTTTCCATAGTGTGGTTTGAGGCATGCGATGACCAGATAAATCCCCGAGAAGACCGTGGCGTACGCCGCCAACGCGACAATCACGATCTGGATCCACGAGAAGCGTGGCAGGAGGATGTTGTGTTTTGTCGGGCAGTGGACGGACTGATTCAGCGGTAAGTTTTCTTCTTCCTCAGATGACGGTCGGCGCTGCTGATGGTTCCGAGGAAGAGCGTCTGCCGTGATTGACGGGTCTTTGATACCCAGGCCAATGTCCGCCGTTGGGTGGAACGCATCGTCGAAGATTTCCTGGAAGGACGAGACGGAGTGGTAGCGGAGCGAGTCGTGGCCGAGATCCAGAGAGCCCGTGTCCGGCTCTGATACCGGGCGCAAGAGATGGTGACGGTCTGAGGTCTCGGATGCCATCTTCCCACACTCGTCCTCGTCTCAGAACCGACCGGAGACATGATGAATTCTTCTTCAGATGGTGGTGACACGATCTTTATTAATATCTGCCGGCTCAGCAGTGCGGCTGAGCAAGGTCCAATTAACCTGCTGCGTCGAGCGAATCACCTCGGTACAGGGATTGTACGAGACCCTTTGCTACGCACAGGCATCCGTCGCCCATCCTCGAGTTATCTCCAGAGTATTTATGGGGCTGTACCGCGCTACTATCCACAGTTTGTGCGCCAAGTAACTAGTAATTCTCGTGGAGTGAGATGCCCATACTTGCACCACTCCGTGTCTTCGGTTCTCAAAATAGACATTCTCCACGCAAGTGAGGCACAGCGAGCATTCTTATGCTAGCTAGATTTATGGTTAATATGGAGTAATCACCGAACTGTGGATTCACTGGATGATTGTCTCCAGCTTAAATCTGGATCTCGGCAGTGGAGGCGGGATGGGCGGAACTGAAGAGATTTCAAGGACTCCGGAGTAATATAGTTAATCAAGTATTATCGTTGATACTCGTTAATAGATGCAATATCTATGTAAATATATAAATCTAGTATTCTATCCTTAATTAATGAATATGTAATACATACTAAACCATAGTTACTTTGTCCCTAGTATGACTGGTAGTTACTACTATTCAATATTGCCTCGATGAGTCATCAAGCTGCGTCTTTTCACTTCTGCCTCTATCCAAGTCTTCTTCTTCAGCTCTCCTTTCTGCATTGATACCTCTTTCTTGTCTTGTCTTTGTTTCGTTTGCTATTATTTTCTATTCTTCTATTTTCTGTCATTCTGTCATTCTGTCATTCTTCTTTTCTGTCATTCTGTTGCGAGCATTTCTGTTCTTGATCTACTGATCTAAAATGACCATCATTGAAACAACGACATATTCAAAATGCAGATTAAAAGCAAGTCCAGACCTGGACCATGGCGAAGACAACAACCTCTCGCTTTCCACCTCAGTGAACGCCAATGTCCTCCTGTTGAACATCTGCTCCAACGGCACCCTCAGCCGCCACGGCTTCTACGCCAAAGTGTCGTCCATCATCGTCGACGCAAGCATCCCCGTCTCGTTATTCCTGACCTCTGACCGCCGGATCTCCATTGCAGTGGACGCAAGGCAGGTGACGACAGATCCAGACCTCACGATCGTCCAGAAGAGACTGTCGGACTACGGCGTCGTCACGGTCTCGGACCATCTGGCGATTCTGTCCATCACCCTTCCTTCCACAGGTGCGGGGGGGGACCGGTCTGCTTTCCGGATCGTGTCGGCCTTGTCTGCCTGTGGGATTGAGAGCGAGATGGTTTCTTACGGTGAGTCCTGGAAGATATCTTTTCATGGTAACTTCTAGGATTAATTCTAATGATGATAGGAGCCACGCAACCTACCATATCGTGTATGCTTCGGAAAGAAGATGTTTCGCGTGCCTTGGAGACACTAAATAGTGTGTCTATGTAATATATGATAATGATTATAGATCCTTGTTTATTACCATGTTACTATTAGCATACTGCCATATTTATGGCTACTGCTACTTCCTCGCATCATGCCCCCAGTTCTTCAGCGACTTGTAACTTTTACTGTTCACGTCTTCTTTGGCCTTTTCCTCCTGCGCCAGATGGCGTTTGCAGTACGCCACCACCCGGCGCATATGGTCGATATCTTCATCTTCGTAGCTCGAAGGGTCCTTCGAGGGATTCTTTTCCAGAATGTCGACTATCTTGCGGCCACTATTTGGTCAGATATCAAGAACGTATACTCGTGTTGCACACTAGACCGTACCTCTCATGACCGATGCTTTCGCCAGACTCGTTGCGCCAGCCGGACGACTGGGACTGTTCTTCCTTCAGCCAGTCGCGGAGCTCGTTCGGGCTCATGTTGACGAGCGAGTTGAATTCCCTGCTTATCAGACGGTTCTTCGTCTCGATGGTCGCCTAATCCTCTCCTTCTCAATGGTTGAGTGCTTACTCGATCACTGTCCCTGTGTCTTTGACCATGTTGAATATTGTTGAATATATAGTGGTCAGATTATTTGAATCAGTCGAAAGGTTGGATTTATTGAAGAATCGAAGTTGAATGGAATTGATGTATCTTCGAATAAATGCGAATTAAGTACATGTTGGAACAGCATTCGCTACGTCATCGCGAGTATGCGTTGCTATTCCGGCGGTACGAGTGCATTCTTGGAAACAGGGAAACCACGTGGATTGGAAATGATCTCAGATTAACCTAATTCTTGATGCATAATTGGTGAACTGTATCTATAATCACTTTATGAAACACGTCAGTGGTATCGCCCTATTGTTTGTTGCCTGTCTTGTAGATGTTATTATAGCCGTCAAGGGATTCTTGTTTGAGAGATTCCCTATCCCTCCCCCGGAATCGGTTGGGATCAAGCTTGGCTTTGATTGTCTCATCAACCGGCGCTCCTTGAATCAGGCCTGTCAAGAACTTGGCTGTTCCCGCCGCATGGGTCACCCAAATCGCCGCCGCCAGATAGACTCCTGGCGCCGAGGAAACGCTGCCCACCAGCGGCAGGTTATCGGGAGTCATTGAAAAAATGCCGTTGAACTTGTCGCTCGGGGTGAGCTCGTGGCTGATGGGCAGCAAGGCCCGGCCGTCCTCCAGTGTGGAATCGAACTGCTCGATCCATGTTCCAATCGCGGTCTCCTCTGGTTTCACGCACACGGGCGCATGGTTATATGATCCCAGCCCGTAGAACGAACCATGGTCTCGGGCGTACACATGATGCTCTGGCCATCTCACAAATGGCATCTTGCATGTCTTTGGCTGGGTATGCCGTGGTCCATACATATAAGGATGACCGACCGGAATGATGGGAATGGGCACATCGAACTTGCACAGGTCAGTGGCCCAGACCCCGGTTGCAAGGACCACAGTGCCCGCTTGCACCAATCCACCGGATGTCTGCACACCTTTGGCATGGCCGGCATCGTACAGGATCTCCTGTACATCTGCTTCGAGGAACACAACTCCATTTGCTCGAGCCTTTTCCTGGTAGAAAGACGTAATCCGAGCTGCATTTGCAGTCCCGTCTTTCGGAAAATACAGCGCAGCAACCGTTTCTTCCTCCCGCACCAGTTCCGGGGCAAATTGTGCCGCCTGTTGGGGAGAGATGAGCTCGGCCGGCATCCCGATAGCTTTCGCTGATTCATATCGGCTTCTCAGCTTGTCGGCACCCTCCTGACTGGTCGCTATCTCCAATCCTCCCACCGTGTCGAACCCGTCGGGAATTTGAACATACTCATTGACGGTGTCAATGGCTAGTCGGGTGAGGACATCGGAGACGTTGAATTGGCCCACAAAGCCAGGGGCATGGCCTGTTGAGCCTTTGAGCGGGGTAAAGGCACGATCGATAAGGACGATCTTCTTCTTCGGATCGGGGGATGACGATGAAAGAAAGTAGGCGGCTGCAGACCCCACAATTCCTGCGCCGACGATTGCGATATCGGCATCCATATCGGCGGCAAGGAGATAGGTATATTATTGATGAGAATTAGGTAGTCGTTTATTAGTTATGACGGAGCGTTTCTCTCGATTCCTGCCACTGTACCAAGATATCCAAAAGACCCAGGAGTAACTGCATCTTATGCAGCACAGTGGATCTAGACTGAGGACTCAACTCTCCCATTCCACCGATGTTACCCGTATAGCCACGTCATTGCTCGGCTATAGATGGAGAATACTGATGTTAGTTACCTGGATCATACGGTCCATACGAGATATTTAGGAGACTTATTGGACTCGTTATCTAGCCGATACCGGTCGTTTAGACCATCGATGCTGTCAGTTGATAGAGAAGACTGCAGTCCCTCGTTTATAAGGCCTAATAATAGAAAAAGAAGCCATATTCCATGGGAGAAACCTGTTCAAGACATACTCAGATAGGTGCAATAAGTGTCGTTCAACATCACCGTGGAAGATTTTTGTCTGGAGGAAAGAAAGGAGGAGGGAGGGGCCTTCCTAGTTTGGCAGCGACAGCTGAGTCAGCGCCCTTGGAGGAAGGCTTCAACCTCAAAGTTTAAACACACGTGATACCACGTGGAATATCAACACACACGTGATGTCAGGTGAATCGATATCAGCTGACTCGCTGTCATGGCTCGCTCAACCTCGACGACCTGCTCCTTCCTTCGTTACGGACATCAAGGGACGGATCAGTCTATTCCCCTCCCAGGGCCATTACGGATCTGTCAATGGAGACTCATGATTAAAGTAACCAGGTACCTGAAACTCTGCAGAACTATTTCCATTCATTAGATGTCAAGGAACTCATGAAACCTCGTCGACTAGGACCACTGCTGGATATCACTCAAGAGGCTGTGCGGTGCCAACAAAATGACATGGATGAGAAAGCCCGAAAAGCAGACAATCTTGCTAGACTGCTTCCCCTCAAGCGTATTTAACCGGTGCCGTTTGATGGTGCTGCTCATCGGCGCGAAGCTGGACGTCCGTGACATAGTTCTTGAACTTGCGGAGGTTGACCCTTTTCTCAAACCTATCAAGCGCAACCTGTCAGCTTGAATCTGGCAATGGAAATCTCATTTCTAGGACTTACAGCTCATCAATCTCGGCTGGAGTCCGACGAGTCATCTCTGGAAGGATGAACCAAGAGATCGTAACGGCAATTGAACCGGTGGCAGCGTAGCTGGACACGGGGTCCAATGTTAGTCTTCCCCTCCAGCAACACAACATATCTATGGCTTAGAAAAGACACTCACAAGAAACCAGTCTTAACTCCCCACTTGGTTGTGGGACCATTGATCATCAGAGGAGTGCAGAAACTGAACATGATAGAGATGCAATTCGACGAAGCCAGAGCCCAGGCTGCAGTCCGCGCACGCAGACGCTGCTGGGGGATTTCGGAGGCATAGGCGTAGCCAATGGCTGAGGCCCCAGTAGTCGAAAATGTCGCGAGACAGGCAAAAAATATCTATAAATGTACCACACTCTCAGTAACTAGTCCGGAAGAGACCCCGGTGGATCCTTACCAGGAGGGAACTTGTTGACGACTTCTCATAGTTGAAGCAGCCGATGATACCCAAACAGAGAACCGAGATCACCGTTACTCCATAGGGGTAGACGGTCAAAGGCCGACGACCGAGCTGGTCGGTGAGCGTCGCCGTGAAGGTCATGGAAATGAGTTGAACACAAGACAGAATGACAGTGACGAGGAGCGGGTTATCGCTGCCTGCATTCTGGACTGCACAACAATGTCAGCACGCGTGAGATGACCACTGTAGTAGGTACTTACAGAAATAGGTCGCATAGGTATTGAAGATGGTCAAGCCAACAAACTGCTGGGTGATCTTGGGCCAACCGGCAATGAGGAAACGAATCAGATTACGGCCACGGAAGATGGCCCATTCTCCTAACTCTGCGTTGGCTTCAGCAAGGCGACGTTCCTCGGCGACGGTGGCTGTCATAACATCCTGTTACTTCATGTCAGTCCAGCATGACCACTGGAAGAAGAAGAAAAAGAAGAGAAGAGAAGGACGGACAATATGTTCCTGGACATCATAGCCTTCGAGATGACCATAGCACCGATTCAGGACCTTGGCCGTCTTATCAACTTTCCCCTTACTGGCAAGCCACCACGGCGATTCTGGGATGAGGGCGAAAATGATACCGGTCAGACCAAGCATCGACCACTGGGAACTGCCATTAGTTTGTTTCCATCCCGTGAGCTGAAAGAGCCCAGTAGACCCTCTTTAACCCACCTGGGTATAGATAGGGGTCCGAAAGTTATAGGGATGGTTGGTATCCATCCGTTCGAGAGCCACGGATGCGAAGAGCTGGCCCAGAACGAACCAACTGGAGAATTATCTTAGATGTCAAGAGTTCTTCAGTTTCACTTCGAGGGAGAGTATGGCTCACAAACTGTATGCGTTGATAAAGAACCCTCTCAGTTGGGTTGGAGCAATCTCAGACAGATACAGAGGCATGGTGGACTGCAGCATGCCCACGCCCATGCCTGCGAAGAGCTTGGCAACCAGCCAGTGAGAGGCGTGGCTGGCAAATGATTCGGTAAAGATGCTCTGAAGAGAAAGATGCATCAGTTTTTGGGGATCTTTTGTTCCCCTTGAAGAATATATCTACTCACTGCGACAAGGGTGATCCAGATGATATAGAGTGCTGGCTTGCGACCCCATGCTTCGGTGACATACTGGAGGAGCTACAAGTCGTTAGTATCTCTATGTGAAAAAAGAGTAAATCGACGACACATATAGGGCTGTACAATTTGACCGATGGTTTGACCGGTGGATTGAATCCCACCCCAGGCAGAGACCCAAGTGCCCTTGATGATTTTTGTTTCTGGGTTGGCCATCTCTCGAATGAATCCCTTATTGGCAACAATGCCACTGTTGAGGTTGATCTCTATACGAGCAAACGAGGCCTGTCAGCAGTTTCATCATTTCCAGAAAGCAACAATGACCCTCAAGGTCGCGAATGTCTTACGGTATCCATCCAGTGATGCACTGAACGCAGCCGCCATGGCGATCACTCCCACAAGCTTGTATCGTTGCACACTCTGCCACACAGAGAGGTCATCTTCGCGGGCTCGCATCACAGGGGCTGGCCCCTGTCCATTGTCCAGCGGCGTGGCATGTTCGATCGTCTCGTCTTCTGCCTTCCGGGGGTCCATATCGCGCGCGATCTCAAGGGGAGCCTCCGAGGTCGTCATATTGCTGTCTCCTTTCTTTACTTTCCCATACAAGAACGTCGCATAAAGACAGTACAGGCCAACCCCCTGCTATCTGTCGTCTCTGCAGCCTCTTTATCTATTCCATCGCTGCAGCAGGCTTTAGCTAGGCCTTGCTAGCCCTGCCTAGTGCTTCTTCACATGGCAGTGAATGGCCTCCGATATCCCCGGCATAATATTATTAGGTAGTATGGTCAACTGGGGTCGGTTAATGAACTTATTGCCTTCATCCCCCCGTCTCCCTTCCCCCGCCCACCGGAACCCCGGAACCCCACTGGCTCGTCTGGGGAACTGGGGCACAAACAGGCTAAATAGACCCTGAAGAGCCTACATAACGCGCGGAATTCTTCTGTTTTTGGATGCATTCGCCGGTAAGCCAATGGCAGGCGTGGATCGGCAAATGGTGGAACATTGCGGAGTGACACACGGAGAAAGCTTTCGGGGCCTGCTAGACCGAGGCATGCCCCTCCTCCTTTCTATGGAGTACAAGAATAATAGTATGTGGCCGGCGAGGGAAGGGAGGGGGAACAGGATAGATTGATTGTCTCGAGGATTGGCTTTTGGGGAGTGACCACGCCACCAGACGCTATGGCGTTAGCCAGACAACAACAGGCACGCTCTAGTTATCTTCTTCCCCTCCCTTTGTGCTTTCGAAGCGAAACGCTGACGTTGATTGACTGAGTCCGGCTGCAGACGATAAACGAGCTCCAGGCCAACTGGATCTGGACGCCCGACTGGGTTGATAGCTCGAAACTCTATACAGCCGGACGTATCGTTAGGTTCACACGCAGCTTCAGTCTGGCTTGCGAGGCGACGCGGGCGCTGCTGCATTTCTCCGCCGATACACGGTATAAGCTCTACGTTAATGGGAGACGAGTGGCTGTCGGTCCGGCCAGAAGCAGCCCGTTGATCTGGTACTATGATACCCTCGACATCGCGCCATACCTGCGATGCGGAGCCAACGAGATCGAGTTCGTGGTGGTTCGATACTTTGCCTCCTCGCGGGGCGCAATGCCCTTTGAGAGGACCTCGACTCCTGGCCTGACGGTCGTGGGTTGTGTGCAGGCTGGCGGAGCAGCGGTTGTGGAACTAAACTCATCCCAGGGTTGGCAGGCGCAAGTGAATGAAAGCATTCAATTCCCAACGGGTCTCGTCGACGATGTGTTTCTTCATGTACGTTCGTTCTTCTTACCATCGTTGAGCGACCGTGTTTTCTCTTCTTGTCCCAGAGAGGACTGATATCTCCCCTAGATCAGTGAACGGGTCGCTCCGACACCTTCCGCTCCCCCAGTCACGCCGATCGCGTACGGCATCAGGTCGGTCAACGGCGAGCTCCCACCCTGGCGCCTGCGGCCACGCGCCATCCCAATGCCCGGGGAGAGTCAGATCACCGTTAGCAACGTCCGGGCCTGCCATAGCGATGTTTCTGTCGAGCAGTGGGCGGCTTGCTTGTCGTCGACGAACCAAACGGTGACCCTGGTCGGCGGTTCGTCGCACACACTGGAACTCCAAGCGCCAGTGCATTCAACTGCGTTCCTCCGCTGGAGCTTCCAATCGGCCCGGAAGTCCCAGATTAAGCTTCGGGTGACATACTCGGAGGGATATGAGCTGGAACCTCGCTCGTACCCTTTCTTCCGAACCAAAGCGGACCGACTGGACGCCAAGCAGGGCCATATCATCGGCCCGTATGACGAGGTGACGCTGGATCTCCCGGGGAAAATTGGGGAGCCCACTGTGTACGAGCCGTTCTGGTTCCGCACATTCCGAGTCATGCGTCTTGAAATCACGGTGGTTGGATCTGAGTCTGTCGAGCTGATCGGCCTGGAGGCCACACAGGTGAACTACCCGTTGGCCGTCAAGGCGCGCTGGAAGGAAGCCGGCGATGCACACAGCGAGCAGATCTGGGACGTCTCGATCCGCACGATGCGCAACTGCATGTTCGACGGGTACTCGGACTGTCCGTTCTACGAGCAACTACAGTACTCTGGCGACAGCCGGTCGGTGGGCCTGTTCCACTACCTGCTGTCCGGCGACGACCGGCTGATGCGCCAGGCGATCACCAATTTTGCCGCCTCGGTGACTGTCGAAGGGCTCACGCAGTCACGGTTCCCCTCTCATGTGCCGCAGGTGATCGCGGGCTTTTCGCTGTATTGGGTCCTGCAGGTGTGCGACCACCACCTCTTCTTCGGCGATACGCCCTACGCCCGTTCCTTTCTCCCCCGGATCGACGGGGTGTTTGACTTCTTCGATGCGCATGTGGATCATCTGGGTCTTGTCAGTGGCTTGCCAGAGGACGTCTGGCAGTACGTCGACTGGGTGACAACGTGGGGAGCGACCGAGGAGCATCCGGACAAAGGAGTCCCCACCTCCGGGCGACGTTCGAACCGGCACACCTATTTCAGCCTGCTGTACGCCTATGTGCTGCAGCGGGCGGCGCGCCTCGTGCGTGAGGTTGGCCGACCAGGTTACGCGGAGGAGTACGAATCGCGGGCGGCGGCCCTCCAGCACGCGGTGCGCATGCACTGCTACGACGGACGTTTCTTCACGGACTCGACGGCGGACATTGCCGACGACTCGGCGCTGTCGCAGCACTGCCAGGTGTTTGCCGTGCTGAGCGGCACCGTGGCAGAAGCCCGAGACCGCGCACGGCTGCTCCGCGAGGCGTTTGCCGACGAGCGCTTCTCGCGCTGCTCGTACGTGATGCGGTTCTACGCGCTGCGGGCCTTTGCACTGGCCGGCGACGAGGCGTATGAGGGCTTCTGGGAGCAGGCGTGGGCACCCTGGCGCCAGATGCTGGCGCACAACCTGTCGACGTGGGAGGAGGATGACGTGCGCCAGCGGTCCGACTGCCACGCATGGGGCAGCGTACCTGTTTACGAGTACTGCACGGAACTGGCGGGCGTGCAGCCCATCGCGCCGGGGTCGAGCCGTCTGCTCTTCAAGCCGCGCTTACGGCTCAGCGCGCAGATCGAGGCAATTGTCGCTCTGGGTGCGGACAATACGGCGACGGTCTCCTGGCACACGACGGCCACCGGCGAAAAGCAGGTGCAGCTGCGTTTGGCCAAGGCGATTGCAGTGATGAGCCAGATGCCGGGCAAGGAGCCGGTAGACCACGGCGTGGTTGATTCCATTCAACTAATAGCCAAATAGCCAAATAGTCGATTGAGGCAGCAGTATGCAGTGATACCCAAGGTTGATCACTCTAAGCAGTAAATCGGCACAGATCAATAGATAGATATGGATATAGAGCATTCTGGGAATGAATAGATAGTATCATGCTTCTACCTGATTGTTCTGCCTATACTGTATACTAGGGAACATCCATCGAACTACCTGAACATGCGAATTTCAATAGAATAGTCAATGGAATCCTTGACCAACATAATTCATATATTTATAGTCTACGCCTTGATATGTAGTATGTGGAAAGAGGTGGTATTGTTGTGGGTTTGCATAGAGATGCTACTGTTACACGGAATGTTAGGCGTACCATTAGACTTATCATTTGATATTTGAATGAAGGAGATACAGCTATGATGATAATATCAGGATATTCTATACTTATATAAGTGGTATAGAAAAGCTGCTGTTGCTGTCACCTACTTCCCTCCGTACAACTAGGAGTCCATCCACAGTCCAAGTTCAATTGACATATTCAAAGCCCCCAATCAATAAAACAATGACTACCATAGTCTTCGTGCATGGCGCCTGGCACACCCCCGCCCACTACGAAGCATACCTCTTCGCGTTGCGCGCGCAGGGCTTCCCCGTCTACAGCCCGCAGCTGCCGTCGTGCTCGAACGACGACGACAGCACGAGCGGCCTGGCCGATGATGTGGCCTGTGTGCGCGAGCTGCTCTCCCACCTGATCGACACGCAAGGCCGGTCCGTCCTGATGATCATGCACTCGTACGGCGGGGTGGTCGGCACGGAAGCTCTATTGCCCTCCTTGACGGCTTCTCAGCGAAGCAAAGATGGCAGCGAAAGTCACGGCGGAGTGACCCATTTGTTATATGTCGCTGCGTATGCGCTTCAGGCGGGCAACAGTGTGTCGGGTACCCTTGAAGAATGCGGATGGGCGCATCTCTGGCCGTTGAACTTCGACCTGGGCGAAGACAGAGGCGGGCGGACGCTTCCCCGGTACCCGAAGATGATGTTCTACGGGGACGTTGCAGATGAGGACCTTGTCGAGCGTGAGACAAGGATGCTTCTCAGGATTCCCATGTCGGTCTTTACGACGCCGGCGAGTAGTGAGGTCTGGCGCGACGTGCCTTTTACCTATGTGTCGACGTTGCAGGATAATGCATTGCCCAAGAACGCGCAGGATCTCATGCTGAATAAGATCCGTGCCAAGGGGGTGCAGTTCTCCCTGGTCGAGTTGGATACCTGTCACACACCGTTTCTCACTAGGCAGGAGGAGATGGTCAAGATTGTTAGAGATATAGATAGTTGTTAGCAGTGAGTGTGGCGGTACTTGAAGGGGGAAAAAAAAAAGAAAGTATGGTAGTGGAAAAAAATCGAATCCCTTGATTTGAGGTGTGTATTTACATCATGGTAGAACAATATACTTCTCTAGATGCTTGGGAATGGCACCGCGCAGGTTCTTGCTCTGCAGCCACTTGTCAGAGAAGAGACGGTCCGCATAGCGATACGCACCGTCACACAGGACGGTGACGACAGTGTGGCCCCGGCCGAGCTTCTCGGCGACCTCCTTGGCGGCGGCGACGTTGAGCGCCGAGCTGGCGCCCAGGTACAGCCCTTCTTCGTCTAGGCAGCGGTAGACCATCTCGATCGACCGCTCGTCGCTGATGTGCACCGACCCGTCGAGCAGGCCGATGTCCGGTTGCAGGTTATCCGTCACCCGGCCCTGTCCGATGCCCTCGGTGATGCTGCTGCCGGACCGGTCGATCAGTTTCCCGCCGCTCTGGATGTAGCTGTGCAGCACGCTGCCCGGCGGATCAGCCAGGAAGCTCTTGACCCGCCCGCCGCTGGCCTCCTTGAGGTACCGGGTAATGCCCGCGAGGGTGCCGCCCGTTCCCGTCGCGCAGGTGAACGCATCCACCTTGCCGTCCGTCTGCGCCCAGATCTCCGGGCCCGTGGTGTCGATGTGCGCCTGTCGGTTCGCCGTGTTGTCGAACTGGTTGGTCCACACTGCATTGTCCAGCGCTTCGGCGTGTCGCCGCGCCTGGTGGTTGTAGTTCTGCGGGTTGTCAAACGCAACAGCGGGCACGGGGTACACTTCGGCCCCCAACAGACGGAGGAGGTCGATCTTGCCCTGCGATTGTGTGTTGGGCATGTAGATCACCAGCTTGTACCCCTTCGACCGGCAGACGTGCGCCAGCCCAATGCCCGTATTGCCCGCCGTGCCTTCTACCACGGTGCCCCCGGGCTTCAGCAGGCCTCTTTCCTCCGCGTCCTTGACCACAAACAGGGCCGCGCGGTCCTTGACGCTGCCGCCGGGGTTCTGGAACTCGGCCTTGCCCAGCACATTGCAGCCGGTCTCTTCGGATATCCGCTTCAGACGGATAAGCGGGGTGTTTCCAATTGCTGAGGTGTATGATCAGCATCTACCTAGGTACTCTGCTCTCCGCGGCAACGCCTGGTCTTACCCTCGGTCAACCCATTGACGGTTCCCTGCGCCGTAGATACCTTGACGTGGTACGGGGTCGAAGCCTCGACCGCCCGCCAGGCCGTCGTCCCAAACCGCCGGATACTCTGCCTGAACATGCTGTCCCTGTTGTAGGCGTAAGGAGGGAGTTTGGGCGATTGTCTCATCCCGAAGCGCCGTTGTCGGACGTCTTAGTCAGCGGATGGCGTGATCTCAGCATCACATGACAGTCACATGACATTCCAGCTCACGTGATTCTAGATTAGCACACTGTCACATGACATACACGTGACCACACGTGATATTTCGGTATCAATAATCAGCGAAGAATTCAGTTTGGCCCTTTTTCTACAATAATATTAGTAAAATATGAGAACTAATTTGATATTATGTAGCCAGACACACAGACAATTCAATATAAACGCCTTTCCCATCTATTATTCATCGAGTACACTCGTCCTGCGTAAAAAAGTGCCTCGAGGCACTGAAAGCCCTAGCCCTGCCCTGCCCTTATCAGGCAAAGTGTTGCCCGTCCGGACTGTTTGTTTACCCTCTCCGCGCAGTATCTTGGAAACCCCCCCCCCCCCCCCACGTTGACGACGACAGCCTTGTCGATAACGATGTTTCATTGATTCTTTCGACCGAATCGACTCTAGGATTGCACCTACAAGACTACAGACGACATACAACCAAGGCGGCCGCCATGCCTAGCCGAGTCTCGTCGCGCTCAGCGTCGACCACCGGTCGCAAGTCCTCCGCCCAGCCCTCCGCCTCGACTGGCCGCGCAGGCTCAGTGACTCCCTCTGTGCCGATCGCGAATATTCCAGAAGAGCCTGCACTGCCGTCGACATCACCTAATCTGCGACGGGATGTATGTGCGATTTTTGCCGACGCTCAAAGGTCGACTACGGGGCACCGCAAGCTGGCGGTGCGGCTGCGAAAACTGCAGGAGAACTGCTGCGGGATCGTCGCACCGAAAAAGACCAAAGGCGACAAAAATGGGACGGAAAGTCAGCAGCAAAGCACCGAGCTCCCTTACGAGGAGACCCTTCCGGAGAGGGAGTTCAACGTGGAGGTTGGCCGGTGTATGCTGCGCATTCTGCCCATCAAGAAGACAGAGCCGGTCGGGGATCGGATTGTTCGCTTTCTAGGCTCTTTTTTGAGCCATGCGTCGGAAAAGGGTATGTATGGGGATCTCTCTCTCTCCCTCTCTATGCATGGCACTTTTTAACCTTTATAGACTCCGAAGTGTTTATTGCGCTCCACGAGGACGGGGATGAAGACGAAAATATGCACCCCTTTCCCGAGACGCCTACGGCACGCCTGACGACAACCATTGTTTCGATGATTGTGCCCCTCTTGGTGGCCAAGGACAAGATGGTGCGGTTTCGTGCGACCCAGATTGTGGCTACCATTGTCAACTCCCTGGACTCGATTGACGATGACTTGTATCATACTATTCGCCAGGGTCTCCTCAAGCGGATCCGAGACAAGGAGGCATCGGTCAGAGTGCAGGCCGTGATGGGCTTGGGCCGACTTGCGGGCAATGAAGACGACGAGGATGGCATGGACAGCTCCACGGCTCTGCTGGAGAAACTGATTGATATCATGCAGAACGACACCAGCGCCGAGGTCCGCAAGTCCCTTCTGACGAATCTACCCCTCAGCCCAACTACGCTTCCGTACCTTCTCGAGCGAGCTCGCGACCTGGATGCGGCCACCCGGCGGGCCCTCTACTCACGCCTGTTACCTACACTCGGCGACTTCCGCCACCTATCCCTCTCGATGCGTGAGAAACTCCTGCGATGGGGTCTGCGGGACCGAGACGACAGCGTCCGAAAAGCAACGGGCAAGCTGTTCTACGACCGGTGGATCGAAGACTGCGCAGGGACCCAACAAGACCGAGCCGAGGGAGGGCCCGTCGGCCAGCGGGCACCCCCGAGCATTTCCGCTCTGCTGGAACTGCTGGAGAGAATAGACGCGGTCAGCTCGGGCCTGGAGGGAGGCGTCGCCCACGAGGCGATGCGCAGTTTCTGGGAGGGTCGGCCGGACTACCGCGAGGCGGTGCTCTTTGACGAAAGCTACTGGGAGAGCCTCACGGCCGAATCGACCTTCCTGCTCCGATCCTTCAACGACTTCTGCCGGGTGGAGAACGAGGGCAAGTTCGACAAGCTGGCGGATGAGAAGATGCCGGAAGTGACGGCGTTTGCCCATTTCCTCCAGAAATACATGACGGAGATGCTTGAAAAGAAGAAATTCTCCAAGGAGACCGGCGAGGCCAACGACGAAGACACCGTGGAGCAAGAGTTTATCGTGGAACAGTTGCTGCATGTCGCCATCACGCTGGACTATAGCGACGAGGTCGGCCGACGGAAGATGTTCTCGCTGCTTCGGGAGTCGCTGGCTATTCCCGACCTGCCGGAGGAATGCACCAAGCTGACGGTGGAGACGCTGCGATGCGTGTGCGGGCCCGACATGGCGGCCGAGGGGGAGTTCTGCAGCGTCGTGCTCGAGGCGATTGCCGAGGTCCACGATACCATCGTCACGGAAGATAGCTTCGTCTCGGCACGCTCCGAAATCAGCGACGACGCCTCCAGCCGGGCCCGATCCGAAACGCCCGGCGAGACGGGCGAGGACGACGAGGTCCCCTTCAACAAGGAGGAGGCCAAGGCCAAGGTGCTCAAGGAGATCATGGTGAACATGAAGTGTCTGCACATGGCCATGTGCATGCTTCAGAACGTCGAGGGCAATCTACAGCAAAACATGAACCTGGTCACCATGCTGAACAATCTCGTCGTCCCGGCGGTTCGTAGCCACGAAGCCCCGATCCGGGAGCGAGGACTGGTGTGTCTCGGTCTTTGCTGTCTGCTTGATAAGGTATGTCTATCTCCTATTCATAAAAAAAAATATGGGTTTTAAAACGTCCTATGTATTTTTCTTTTCTTTACTGACAATTGGCAGTCCTTGGCGGAAGAGAATATGACCCTCTTCATCCACTGCTACAGCAAGGGCCATGACGCGCTGCAGGTGACTGCTCTGCATATTCTGTGCGACATGGTCACGACGCACCCCACGCTGCTGGCGCCCGTGCTGCAAGCCGACGGGGAGAGCGTGTCACCGCCGGCTTTCCAGCGCCCGCTGCTCAAGTCGTTTGCGCGGGCACTGAAGTCGACCTCGCCGGATAGCGTGCAGACGGCGGCGGCGACGGCGCTAGCGAAGCTGCTGCTCACCAACACCTTCTCGCCGAGCGGGGCGAACATCCCGACTGCGATCCAGGAACATAACCAGGCGGCGGTGGAGACGTTGCTGCAGTCGCTGCTGGTGGCCTTCTTCCACCCGCGGACGCGGGAGAACCCGGCCTTCCGGCAAGCGCTGGCGTACTTTTTCCCCGTGTACTCGCACTCGCGCGTGGAGAACACGCAGCACATGCGCCGGGTGGCGGTGCCGGTGGTGCGGGCGATCCTCAACGCGGCGGAGGAGCACTACTCGCTGGAGGCGGAGGAGGACAGCGACGGGGAGATTGACGAGAGCGTCGGGGAGCGCGAGCTGAAGGCGCTGATGAGCGGCGTGTTGGGCATGTTGGCCGAGTGGACGGACGAGCGGCGCGTGGTAGGCCTGGGCGGCGAGCGGGTGCTGGCGGGGGGCACTGCCTCATCCAGTGCGTGCGGGTTCATCCATCTCGCCCTTGTCAAGGATATCCTGGAACGGGTGTTGGGCGTCACCCCGGCGTCGAACCGGTGTTCGAAGGAGGAGAAGAAGCTCCTGTTCGCACTACTGAGCAAGCTGTACATCTCGCCTCCCGTGGCGGGATCACGGGCGGGGTCTCGAGCGCCCGAGGGTCCCGACGACAACAATAACAACAATAACAATCACTCGAGCTCGCTGCGGTCAAGTGTCCGCGGGGAACCCATCTCGGCGGAGAACGCCCAGCTGGCGGCGGAAGTGAAGGAATTACTGGACCAGACCATCGAGGAGGGTGTTGCGGGCGAGGCGGCGAGTCGCAACGCGCTGGTCAAAGTGAAGAACGCGGTGCTGAAGCTACTGGCCGCCTCGACCTCGACCTCGACCTCCTCCCAGCTAGGGGGGATGAGTCTCTCGTCGCGCACCCTGCCGCGGATCAAGGAGGGCGACCACGACGAGGAAGATGAGGGGGACTTTGACGATAGTCGCAGCGTGCGCGCGGGCAGCGTGCGTCCGTCGGTGGAACAGCCCGGTCACTATCGCGCCGGAGTGGCTGTTGAACCGAGTATCATGGAAGAGGACGAGGAGGAGCACAATACCAGTGCTGGGACGGTGATCAAGTCCGAGGATGAATGATTTTTTTTTTTCTTTTTTCTTTTCTTTTCTTTTTTTCCTTGCTTCGGTTTCCTCTATTTCTGGGTCAGGATATGGGCGGCGTAATGGTCTATCTACCATCCACCTAGGTATCTTGTACGGAGTCCTTTGTAGAGCAGTATTCCTATCTATTCCTATTCCTATTCTATTCTATTCTATTCCTATTTTACTATTGTATTGCCAAGAAGCCACGTGGAACTTAACCAATCGACATGAAGATATTTATAGAGTATCAGTTGTGTCCAGCGTCCTTTCTGCTTCCTACCCAGGTACCTACGTATATAAGGTATAAGGTATAAGGTATAAGGTATAAGGTACTGTATTACTGAGCTGGAATGCCTGATATCTGTCATTTTATCTCATTCTCCATATTCAAAGTACTGTAGTTGGTAGTTGGTATAGTTCAGGACCACTAATAGTAATATTTATTAATAATTATATACAGTATTCTGGCTATAATTATTATATATTATATCTTACCTAGGTATATACATATATACTATAAGGTACTAATGTTATGTAGTAAAGTAGGTAACTGGGTACATAATACTATTACCTAGTATAACAGGTACCTACCTAGTAACTAGTTAACTACTACTCGTACTGACAGCTGTGTCAGACTGGTAATGCTGCAGACAGTTTGTACCACCACCTCCTCCTCCCTCCATACAATTAACTATCCCTTAATTCAATAAACAGTCCTTCTAGAAAATAAAATTCTCCCCATGTCATTTCATCGGGAATTGCCCTTTGGTCGCTCGTGTTCCTGTCCTTGATCCCCTCCACGTCGTACCGTAACCGAGCGAACTTTTTTCCTCCTCCGCCCTCTCTCTCTCCCTCTCCCTCTCCCTCCCTCTCTCTCTCTCTCTC